GATTTTCAATTCAAGACGTAGGTCAAGAAGTAAAAGTTCAAAAAGGACTAACTATAACAACACCATCAATCAGTCAAATGTATTTGCCTTGAAATATAAACTGGACTTCTTCAGTGTATAATAATAATAATAATAATAATAATAATAATAATAATAATAATAATAATAATAATAATAATAATAAAAAATCTCTAAGATTTATTGAAGAAATAGACAATACAAAATTAGTTAAAAACATTTAGTCACATAGAATAACACAAGTCTTTCACAGGTTTATTTGGAATACAAAGAATTCATATTAAAGAAAAAACACAACTTATTTTACTACAACAAGTACTAGACTGACATACAAGAAAACAGCCCTGTTTTATTCAATATTTATACGGGTGAACATACGAACATAAGATAAATATTTTGTTTATCACATGATTCATCTTATCTAAAAAAATCTATGAAATGATAGTTTGCCAAAATGTAGTGTATATTGAAAAAGGTAAAGCTTTTAAAGAAAATCTGTTATAAGGTAATTACCAATATCAAGTTCTAATCTAATACCAAGTGAATTCAAATTCACCCCATTGCACAAGCAAGTGGCTATCAGGACTCAGTAGTTGAGTGGATAACGCGATGGCGTTTGAAGCGAATGGTACTGGGTTCGAGTCCCAGAGTGAACATCAACTCTGAGATGCAGGTACATCCAACTGACAACTCCCAAATAGGACGAAACGCGCGTCCTGGATTCCACTACTAGCCACTATCCATCATTGCTTATAAAAGCTTGTGAATTAAGGCAATATCGAGGCAATCCGCACAGTATACACATATGCCAATAACAGACTGATCAATTGTAGTCTTAAATTTCAATGGGAAGATACAAGCAAAACAATACCAAGTGAATTCTAATCTAATTTTGACATTTGTATCTAATTTAACTAGTTAAAAATAAAGTACTTTCTCAAATAAGCATAAGTTAGAATCTGGTGAATAGATCGATTGCTTAAATCAGTTTGTCACACTTCAGATTAGTAGTAGTTTTGGTAATATTTAAATCCCAGGTTTCCTTAACATAACTGTATTCATTGTCTTCATATGATTATAGAGTTCACTAATCAGGTATATGGATAATATATACTTTAAAGTCCAGTGGAAAAAAACTGGTTATGCATCTTAAGCAAAGGCTATTTGATTTCACTTGGTGTTGTTTGCTTGTATCTTTCCATTGTTGTTTGGGACTGCGATTGATCAGTCTCTTATTGGCATATGTGCATCCTGAGCGGATTGCTTTGATATTGCCTTAAGTCACAAGGTTTTTAAGCAAAGATGGATAGTGCCTAGCAGTGGAATCGAGGATGTGTTCGAAGCGAACGATAATGGGTTCGAGTCCCTGGGTGAACATCAACTCTGGGGTGCAGGTCCAGCTGACGAGTCTCAAATAGGACGAAACGCGCGTCCTGGACACCACTGCTAGCCATTATTCATCTTTGTCTAAAAAATTATTTGAGTTAAAAAACGAATATAAATCACAGCTTTATTCATTCACAATCAACCACTTCAAAGTTAATAGTCATTCGAGTTGATAGAATTTCTTTCCAAATTAATATCAAATCATTTCTTTTGTACTTCATATTAGGAGATTATAAACTCTTAAGAAATGCTTATCAAAAATTAACAGATTTCCTCCACACTATCCCAATGTACGGAACAATTTGTATAATATGTAGTGTTTTCGTAGGACTAAAATTAATCGACATATTATAAGTTTGCAGAATAGTTCTATCACGTCGGCTATTCTAAATTCTCCCAGATGAACATTTCCCTTGTCAATATTTCACAGTCATTTTACGCAACTAATTTTCAACGATAACTACTAAAGTCTTTCATTTCTCTCAAAAAAATTGCTAAGGTGGATGTCATGACAACCCTGAGTGTTATAATTTTTCCAAATAGTTGTTATGATTAATTATTCTACTCTCCACTTTGAAGACTTCATTATTTAACAGCTGACTACATTTCTCATCTAGTTTATTGATTAGTTGGTGTTAACATTAATACTACGGATAAAGATAACTAACCAATCATAAGAAAGGTCATAAGCACAAGGACATGCAACTTAAAAATATGAATGACTCATTAATAGACAAGGGACATATGACAGTGGATTTGTGTGCATTGAAGACCATGCAAATTAATAAGTACTCTAAATAATACTCTAAAAATGAGAACTGATAAAAAATCCAAACATTAAATACATAATATGTTAGGTTTTGTACAATATAACGTCAACTAAAGCAGTCGTTTTCATATATATACATGCATCACCTCTTGGATGCTTAAATACATATGAGTATGGGTTTCTGTGATTCAGATTATGAGAACTTGGTTTTCAGTAGTTTTGAAATTCATTAATAGCTACCACTCTTACTGTGACAGATCTAGTCTGCTGACCGATCTGATAACAGATGTACGGGTCAGGTTATTTGCCGAAATATATGGAGGATGCCAACGCAAACAATAAATTATTGGATATAACTAACAGCTTCTCTTTATAGGTTCAATAGATTTATTAATGAGTTTTATTCAAATCAATGAATGTGACTAAATAGAACATACAATAATCTATCCAGAATACCACGGATTTTCAGAAACCCTTCGGTAAAATTATTGATGTGTATCGCTTAACCGTTATTAGCGTATCAATGAAATAAAATGGATTTGTATAAGTTGTATGATACTCTTCATTCTAATTATTACTTCAGATAATTATATTAAGTCTACTGAAATATTTAATCGGAACGCGTACTTTCCAATTGTTGTACTTTGACGACTGTATTGATAAATCTGTTTGACGATATAAAGTTCTGTAGAGCTTTATCGATATTGAATGTGTTTTAATCAAAATTGACTGTAGAAATTCACTCTGTAGATTGCAGTTGTTTGTAATTTATCAGTTTGATATTCATTCTCCGATGTTTTTGTTTCCATTCAGTTTTGAAACTTGTACTCAGATTAAAAACCTGAATAATAATTCACGAGTAAAGTGAATCAAGTTAGGGCCACATTATTTGGATGACCAATAATAGTCAGTCAGATGTTTATTTCCCAGAAGTCAATTTGTCCAAAAATGGATACAAATCTAAGTGACTGATAAGCCCGAAATAAATGGTTTTATTTCTAGAAACCACATTGACAATATTGCATTATTCTTCAAAATGTTCCCATTGAAACTCCGTACGAAACTGTAGACAATAGTAGTGGATGTACACTCGTAAATAGTGAGTAAAGGTATCTGATCATGCTTTCAGATATTTCGAGAAATCGCCTCAATTTCATTTGTGAAGAGCGTCGCTTATTTTTTTCTTGAAAAGGGATAAATGATGTTTAGAAACAATTATATAAATAGATCATGTTCGACTCACCATTGTTTGAACATTTGTCCATCCTCCAAACAAATACATGAATAATTCATCTTGATTTCATAGAAAACATTTACATTTACTCTGAAAAAGTACTAAATCATGTTACCTTACTAAGTAGTTAGTTATGACTTTTATTGGCAAACGAATACATTTTATATGCAATGGTTTCAAAGTATTGAGATGATGGTTAGGGTTTGAAGCTCAAGTAGATGGGTTTGTTGGAGGTTCGCTCTATGAGCTAGATGGTTTTGTAGTGAAAGTTTCACTATTCTTTTGAACATCATTAGCACAAACTTCAGGTAAAAATGAGGTATATTTAAGTGACGAGAACTACCATGAATTATGAATATTAATGATATCATTTACACAGAACTATTAATATATTACTTCAGTCATTGTTTTATTAAAATCAGACTTTCATTTGAGTTTAAAAATTAACAGAAAATAGTATGAAATTTGTCCATTGCTGATAAACAACTCAATATATTTCTTTACCAGGGTTTATAACTTGATAGTTTGTTAACTGGGCGTAGTTGCAAAACCAAAACACAGTAATTATCTCTTCTTAATATAAGATAAAACTGGTATATACATATCACCTACAATAGTAATATATCTGAGATCGAAGAGCTGATAGTATAACAACCAGTCATTTGAAAACCTTATGTAAATAACGGCCGAAAAGTTTTACGTTGGTTTAAATATAAATAATCTACTTTGATTACTGAGAGGTTGAATACAACAACAGCATCTGGACCAGTATTCACTTCATCCTAAATTAAAGTTGTCTAACACTTATGATACGGTCACCGTACATTTTATCGCAATAACTATGTTGATAGTTCAAAACCAGACACAATATTTGCATTAATTCAACTTTAGTTCTCACCCCTACAACAGCAATTTTCGAATCAATGCTACTATGAACAGTCTAAGTAGAAAATATTTGTAATCGATTAACTTATTATAAAACCAACCTTCTAAATATTGGACATTTCACCATGTTAGCTTAGAATAACATTTTAATGATCGGTGTAAAAGTAGAACGTAACCAATTACGTTACATCTTAAAGGTGATCAATCATATGATCTCTTTTACAATAACAAGAATAAGATCTATGTTATGATCAAAGAATGTATTGGAGAATATTGTGTTTTAATGAGAATTAAAGCAAAATATTTTGTAAATTTTTATTGATTTATACGGTTATTATTTTATTACTTAAAATGAATGCATGAACCACATATCATGGTAGGTAACCATAGATTTCACGGCAAGAGTCTAACTTGTGACTTGTTTAACAAATAAGTATCCCATTTAATGAAAATCAAACTCCTCACTGATATGAGAAGTAATAAACGTCAATTACACAATTGAAAAACGATGTACTTGAAACAGTTTTCCCTAAGTTGGTACACACATACAACACAGTGAACAGACGATTACCGACCATTGGATAATGGATGGTAGCATTTCTAGGCCTTACATAATGGGGTTACATCAAACATTTGTGTAGAACCTTTCCGTTGTTTGTTAAAGTGTACTATGTATAATATTGAATAGTTATTTATTCGTTATTTTAGGTGATGGAACACTGTCAAAAGATGATTTACGCAGTATTTTACGCTATTTTGAACTGGACTTCAGCGATGAAATAATTGATGATATTGTGAAAGAAATTACTGGGTCTGAAAATAACCTTATTACCTATTCAGGTAATGAAAAGACTCATTAGTTTGACAGTGTTTGAAACTAGTTTGTAGTGAAAATAATGTTGACAAGTCTTTGTCATTTACTGCGTCTTAGTTGCATGTACCTCTGATATCTCACAATTCAGAAATGCAATATGTGCAGAAATAATTGGTCTGAAGATAGAGCTAATTACAGAACGGTAACAACTACTTTAAAGTTAAGAGTTACTGAATATCTGTTTTGTCCAATCCAGTAGTGTAGCCATCTACTCAATGTACGGGAGCAATCAAGTTTCTCTATGGCGATGACGTCACTCAAGTGTTGAGTCAAAATCTACTTACTTTATTTAGCAATTCTACAGTGAAACGCAGTCATCTGTTTATGGTGCTGACTTACATGGTCTCAAAACTGTATACTTCTGTGTGAATTGGATACATCAAATAAAAAAAGCTGCTGCTTCCAATTTTTCAGTGGTTATTCACCAGATGTTGTCCTATAGTGATAAACATCTTCAAAGTAAAGTATCTGTGTCATGCAACTTGGATCTACTGATTTTAATTGTCGATAGACCAAGATTATATGAATATTGAATTAAAATATAATGAATGTGTGTGTAGTACTTTCTTGTAGTTATTCAAGTGAGAACTTTTAGTAAAGTTTATTCTTATATATAACTATTTTTGAATTCGTAACTAATTTCACAAATTTTTATCTCTTTTATAGATTTGTTTAAGTTTATTATAGATTCAGACAAGGAGTTTACTATTACTGAAATCTTGAACAATCCTTTATAATATATGAAGAGATAATTAAACTCCAACTTCGTCAAGAATTCTTATTTATTTGACTTAATAAATCGTACTCAAAGAATTCCATTAATAAATGATGAATTGTGTTGGATTTTTATTTCTTACAGAATCTTGTTTCCTAGTTTTAGTAACAAGTAAATTGATTTAAATGTTTGTCTCAGTAATAATATTTGTTTTAAAAAGATAAAACTAACATAAATGATGTGTTGTTGATATAGTAGATATATGTTATTGGTCTCATGTAAAAAACCATAAAGGAACTAGTGACATTAGATACGATGAATTTGATTAACACTGGATGACACTTTGGATTATTCTAGAAATAAACACTATATTTAAATACATGTTTAGATAGAAAATAATTTCTCCAGTAAACATTTTTTGCATGCATTTTTGTCAAATTTTCCATGTGACAGTAATAACTTAAACAAATTATGGTCTGTTAGAATGAAAGATCAAAGTGACAAACAAACACCATATCTACATTGTTGGGATGCTGCCTAAATATATTATCCACTCATTCAAGTAGGTGGAGCGAGGTAAGGACCTGGAACCTAATAATTGAAAGACAAGTGTTTCTAGCCGTACGATGTGGCAACAGCTAACAAAACATAGAGTGAATTAACATAGGCTGGGTGCATAATCCCATTGTCTGACTACATTGTGATCAGACGAGACTGAAGCTAAGGGCATAAGTGTATCCTAGTTGACTTCCAGTGTATTCGGTCGAATTAACAATAGAATATTGAATGTTAAATAAGAGAGTAATTTTGGATACATATATTCCAGACATCTATTAACGAAGACAGACAATGAGGGATACGGAACGAAGATGGTGAATAGACCTACTCATCAAAAAACCGCTCAATATTTATTACCACCTTTGAATTAACTACTTTTATGAATCCGGTGTCCATCTTTTTGTGTTAATGAGGACCGATGCATATATGTGCCTGGTCCTACGTTGTAGCTGATTGACTGACTGACAATATTTATAAGCACTATATATATTATAGACACATAAGACTACCATACACATATGCTCGAGGCGACACATAAATGATAGAAAGATCAGAATAATTCATCTGTTCAAAAGTTAAGATAAACGGTTTAGGTACATAATAAAATAAAAGCTGCTACATGTATATAGCTAGCTTTCACCATGGACTGAAATTAGCTAGGGAAATATAGGAAATAAGGAGAAACAGAATATCTGTCCTATTCTAGTCTGAAACTCAGCATTTCGAGGTTCACAACCTCAAATGTGATCAAACTTTCAGGTTCAAAATTGAGCATGGTATCTTTAAATTGCTAACCCGATACCGAATTCTTCACGTTTAACTATCGAATCACTTTGAGATACAGTAATTCACTAATTAATTTTCTACTCATTGGGATATTACAAACATATTATTTTTATTTAGAACATTCTATCCAATGCTCAATTTATTTGAAGTGATCAAGTCAATAATAACTATATATATATGCAAGAACAGGTCAGAGGTTATTTGGTGTTAGAATCAAGAAAAAACTAAGGATCGGTGTTTTTTTAATTCTAACACCAAATAACCTCTGACCTGTTCTTGCATATATATATATGTATATAGGATTAATATTGATAACGTTTGTCATTCCAATTCTTTACATTTACTTATGTCAGTTGTTCCATACTATTTCTTACCTCAATGTAAAATTCTAATACATTTTTGGTTGTAGGCAGCTGATGAGAAACCACGAAATATAATGAATTCATATTATTCTGTATCTATATTTGTTCTGGCTTTATTTAAACTCATAAAGGGAACTAATTACATCAAATATTTTTGAGACTAATTTACTCATTATAAGTTTATGTACTTAGAATTACAATGGTTTTATAAAAACCAAATGGTTCCATCTAGGTGTTTTTTTGGAAGTGTAGAATTTTCACGTGAAACATAATAGTTAAGAGTTAAATGATTTAACCGATAAGCCATTGTTAATTAACTCAAGTCGATTGTAAACATTTAGTTTTTTTTCTTTTATTAATATTATTACTTTGATAGTATTGTCTAGATAGTTCTGTTTACTTTTATAAATTAACCTAAAATATGTGAATATTGAAAATAAAGAATATAGGAATTTCATTATTCTTCAAAAAGCTTGGATCAGATTGCCAGGTGAAACGTTGGATTTATTTCAAACTCTTTCGATGAGATTTTACATATACATTCTTTCACTTTAAGTTAATTATTCTGTTTCGATTTTTAATGTTAAATTAGAAACTTGATTAAAAAAATCCAAATGATATTTGTACTTGACATAGAAGATAATTGAAGTATTTACTAATTAGTGTATGTTCATTTATGAATATAATTAAATCTTACAAAGTATTCACATTCTAAAGTTGAATAAAATCTTTTTAAAACAAATTACATTGCATAAGCAAAGATGGATAGTGGCTAGCAGTGGAATCCAGAATGCGCGTTTCGTGGCTGAGTGGATAACGCGATGGCGTGGGATCGTGGATGCGCACTGCTGAGGTGTCCCACGATAGGACGAAACGGCCGTCCAGTGCTTCCAGGTTTTCAATTGTGGTGGTCTAACATCAATCAGTTCATGATCTCAATCAAAAACTTAATAATCTCCACAACCCCTATACTAGTGATTTTTTTGTTTTGATAAGATATCTAAGCAATTACAAAGATTTATACGAATATTCGTCAAGATTAGAACGAATAGTTTGAGAGAAATTGGGCGCTGAATATAGAAAAGTCATTATATGTGAAAATTATATTTGAAATAATCTCAGCGATTGAAATTTAACTAATTCCAACGTTTCGTCCAGCTAACTTGTCTGGACTTCTTCAGGGTAATAATCAAAATCATTAAATAAATATGTAGCTCTTTAACAATAATAACTATACTGTGTTACACCAATCAAATCTGGATGTTGATTTTTGTAAAATAGGATAAAATGAGTCAGTTAACTACAATTCATGTGGGAAATTCAACTACATGGAAATAATTAACTGAATAACAAATTATTTGTGTGTGAGTGTGTAGGTATGTATGTGTGAGATTAATTATTGATGTTCTGTGTTGATCACGTTATATATGAAGGAAAAAATAAATAAAAGTGCAAGTTCAAGGTTGATAAAATTGTTAATGAATCATCGATGTACATGTCAAACAAAAACCTAATTGTATAGCTAAAAACTCATTGAAATCAGTCAAAAATAACGATACATGTGGAATAAACAGGTTGAATAAAGATAGGTTTCAAATTACTTGTCATAACGAAATTTGCCAGGTAGTCGACAGTTGAATGCCATCTTTTCGGTTCAGGCTGTTCTTGTTCGCCCATATATACAGGGCTTCTGCTGTCAATTTTTCTTTATGGGTGTTAAAACCTTTCTGAAGTATTTTGGTCACCTCAAAATTAATCTTTTGTCCTGTTTCTAATGCATGTAACGCTATTACAGACTTATTCTCAAGTTTCTTCAAATCAACCGACGTGTTCTTTTATAACTTGTGTTATTGTTATGTCCCGATACGAATAATGAATGGTAACTTTTGGGATCCATTTATGAACAAATACTATGCGCATATTTTTATAGTATAATTCTTAAGTAACTAAACTGTTCATATTCATGTCCATTTTATCATGAGCTTTATTTTGACCTATGAACTATTATTATACGATTTACCATTGTTGAGTTATGGCCTGTCTATTAATTACTACCTCCCTCATTCACAGCCACATTTGGCTAATTCTTGTACAAATGTTGTTTCATATTTTATGGTACGCTGTGGTTTGTCTGGTTGGTATATAAACCCAGTATGCTTGAAATAAATGATTCATATCACAGAGGCTGAGGTTGGTGTTTTGGAGTTAACTGGCTGAGCTAGGAGGATGTAGGACCAATCAAGACACTAGAGTGCTCGCATGGGTTTCATGCGTCACTGGCCCGGTCGATAATTCACTGCTCTCTGCTTCGCGATATCATTACGTTATACAATAAACAGGGCACACAGGTCATAAGTTATAACAGTTATTATGTGGCTTATATATATCACCAGTCAACTAAACTGTAAATGAAGTTTTAGTTGATCAACCTCAATTAAGTTTATAAATGTAATTAAACCGTACTGTTTATGTGAGTGTTAGTCTATAGATCAAATTAGATAAAGGTTGAAATGTATAAAATCAAATTATTAAGCCACTCAGTCATATAAATTTTGATGGGAATCTTATCCAAACACATAGTACTCAAGTCATACTAAACTTAGCACCGTGCCACGTTTAACTAGTCAAACGTCGAAAGAACAGAACGAGTCCATTTGCCAGTTTCGATAACTTGAATTTAAATACAAAGAATATCCACAGTGAAATAGACATTATGAAGCTAGACCAGTAAGTCTACTTTATTTAAATTACAAATAATTGTTAGGATTCAACTACGAACGAATATATCTGGACATGATAAGAAATATCATATGATGACGATGTTTATGGTTTGTTTAAAATAAACTATAAATTAGATGAATCCATTCTTAAGCTATTTATAAATCCTCAATCATATCAGCAATTCTATTCGGAATCACAAGATGAGATCAAAAAACAATGATCATGTGCATTTACTGTTATATTAATAGGAATTAGACGAAAAAGTTTTAAATGATTATTTTATCTTAAAAAAAAAACACAACATTAATTTTACATTTATCAGTTTAGTGTTTAGAAATAATAAGAATTTATTCCATTGATAAGAGTAAATTCTATAAGAAAATTATTTAAAGTTCATCGGTAAACTCTGAATTCCAATCTCGAAAGAAAACGTTTTCCAATTGTTTTCTGATAGATACAGGTTTCGGTAAACAAAATTCACTATGATCCGTATTTTCTTGATTTAAGTCATTTGAAGTATGATTTCCTTCTTCATAAACGAAAGCGACACCACCCGTATAAAGGAAGTAATCACCGGACCAATTAGAAGTACCTA